TACAAGGATCTGCCATACCGAGCTGGACGTGCCTCATGATATGTGATTCATTTGAAACGAGCAGTGACTCCAATTCCAAGTATAGCACTCGATTTTGACGAAAGAACCAACTTGTCAGCACCTAGCTCGCCCCAGAATGGACCCTGCCTACGAATACGACACCAAGCTCGAATTATACTCGCCATCGTAAGCATCATCTGTGCCGAGGTAGCTCTCTAGATAGTAATCCGGCGTGGTCAAAATAAAAGCTGGCATTTCGTCGACGCATGATTTGTCCAAGCTGTCAAGATCGCCACCATTTCTCACATACGACGCGAGAACTTTCATTGCACAGGTTTCGCTCCACGGATCGCCAGCAACCATCTGTGTCGTTACGATGGTGGCATGGGTTGTGTACTTGAAGGTGACCAGCTCCTTCTTCTCACCGACAAGTTGATTCAGCAAGTACTTGGCGTATTTACTGGGGGTCAGTGGATCGAGCTTGATTCAGCAACAAAACGCTCGCTTGCCTTGGAATAGTGGCGGTCTTGTTCCAGTACTGGTCACGCTCGTACACAATACCATTGGAGTCGTAATTGCCAACGTGGAACTTGGCACATGACGCCGACCTCTCTTTGGTTAAAGGCACAATATTGTGAGCTTAGTAAATAGGCACCACCTTCACTACTCATTTTCGCTTGTGTGAATCGGGCTTCCAACGCAGACGTGGACGGCCATGGGGACTTCATCAGCTCAGAGTACACAATGAGGTTGTAGAGTAATGTTGACGTGAATGTTTGTCTTGCGTTTTGCCTTTGTCGTTGTCTCTGATCGTCGTGAAGAATTGGGTCAAAACGTCCAAGTCCTCAGCAGCGCAGCGCTGGAGTCGATACACGACTGGGGGAATTAGAGTCCGAACGTATGAATCGATCAATGCACTCCCCAGTGCAGCTCGTAGGTTGAATGATGGTGAGCTGTTGTTCAGTTCCCCCGCGTCACTGACCAGAGCAGCGCATGTTGAGTTCGGATCTTTGTCAAACTACTTCATTATACTTTGGAGAGTGTTGTTGAGACTTTTAGACTTGAAGCGAGACTTGCAGTTGCTGTCACTCGCACAAAGCGACAAGAAATCATCGCCCACCTCATGAAAGTTGAAGTCCCATCTTGATATCCAGAAGAATTTATCATCGGGTGCTCCGGAAGTTGCTGCGACGCTGTCCAGCACATATCCAGTCACCTGCGGAGGGGCCAAGTGCATGAGCCTTTCCGCAAAAATTGTTCCATAGCTGACGCCATACACGATGGTATCAACTCCATTTGTGTATTTGGTCATGAAAGTCGCGGCAACTGTCGTCACAGAAAAAGATGCAAGGTCCCATATTTGATTTGCAGTTCTTCGGCGCATGCGGGAACCTCCGACGGATCAATTTTGCTGCCTTTTGGGGATCCCGTGGTGGTGACTTGAGCTGCCACACAATCAAACAATGTGCTGCGTCCTGTGCCACGGTGGTCCATCGTGTACACGTTTACTGTTCCTTCCAGCAGCGAGTGCAACGTCTTCATCGGGGCCTCCACTGAAACGCGCACGTAATGATGAGAAGGAATCAAGATACGTCAACCATGTCAGTAAGACTTCAACTATTGCGATCTGATACCCATTCCACTTACTGTTTGTTGATGAGTCTCCAGG